CTCTTAGCGACTTGCAACTTGCACTTTATTATACTAAAATTTATATAAAACTGTATATCCAAGATTTTATAAAAACCAAAAACAAAAAACAATAGAATTTTGTTACCTTCATTACCAAGGTATCTAGAATTGAGGCTACACGACTGGTGACAATTTTTGGTAACAAAATTTTCCGGTTATAAAATTTCGGAAACAAACAGAATAGGCCTGTTAATGCCTGAGGTTTGTCTGAAAAGATAGTGAAGGACTTACAACATTAAACTATTTTCTTCATTTTGTCATGTAAACTATGTATATTCCATCACACCGTCACTTGAAAGTGCTATTCGTATTTGCCTGTCTTTTGACTACAACCCGCAAGTGCACTGCCGCATGTAAACAATGCACTTTTGTCAACACCTGTAAAGCAATCTGCAACACCACCAATACAATGCGCCCATTTGCTACTCTGACTCAATCCCTCTCGGCCAACGCTATTTATAACAATGCGACATAAAAAACTATAAGAGCTCAGATACATACTCACTGAGATAACGCATCGTGCTGCTTCCTGCCTCCAGTTGTTTTGCGCTTTGCTCTATCATTTTCTTTATGTACATACATACATAAGTACGTCAGCAGAAGCTGCTTGATTGTACTCAATACGCTACAACATTCCAAAATATATTAGGAGGATGAGGGATACACAGCATCAAAAAAAATGATGTTCTGCTTCCTACCTAAGACCATTTCAACCCTCACCAAACAATTATCCTCCCATTCTTGATATGCTCTGAGAACAAAAAGGAAATCAATTTGGCTTAAAAGTTTTCATCGCATCCCAAGCAAAGCGCTGCGCGCTCTACTTTCTCTATGAGCATAAAAGTGCGGCATAGTTATCGGGTCAGGTCGATATAAATATTTACTAAACTCAATTTGACGTATTGAAATTGAGATTCGAAAAAGAGGTGAGTGCGCCTACGCTCAGAGATTGACTTGGCTACAGAGCTCTGGATAGTATATATAGTTAAAAACGTCAGCTTGCCACTTTAATTGACCAATGTGTGTTGTTCGAACAAAGCTGAAAGTGATTCGCCAATTCACTTCACTTTTTATAACACTATAAGTGGTATTACGGCATTGATGAGCGTATGCGACAATGTAATTTGGAAAAAAAAAAAATTACGATCTTCTTCGATTTCCTGGTACGCGCCTTGATGTTGTCGCTCTCGGAGGTTTGCCAATGCCTCCCGTGGGACGACCTTGGACCTACGAAGTGGTAGTTCACGCCTCTTAATACTCGACCACGGCGGATGTCCATTAAAGTTAAACAAGTAAGAAAGTCTAAGTTCNAAATATATGTTTTTTCACCTTTCCGAAAGCTACCGCTAGATGGTAAGACGGGGTGTATCAATTTTGAGTAAATTAGCGTCCTTAAATTTCGAAATATTGCAGTTTCAAGCATTGCTGAAATTTACCGTTATATTAGTCCGTAATTTTAGTCCGATTTCAATCATTTTCAACGTTTTGCCTTTATGTGGCAAGCACAATAAAAATACCGAGTTTTGTACAAATTGGTAGAACGTTTACCGATATACGCATATGTGATCATAAATGGGCGGTGCCACGCCTATTTTCCAAAATTTTTTGAATAAATTAGCTTTAATATTTTCTGATTTATCGAAGATTTTGTATTTCTCTAAATTACCGTTATATGGGATGTGGTTGGGTTATTGTCCGATTTTTAAAATTTTCGGCCATTTAGTATGCTGTACTAAGGCCAACAACTGTGCCAAGTTTGGAAGAAACTGGTGCAGCGGTTACCAGGATATACACATGTTACCATAAGTGGGCGTGGCTACGCCCATTTTCCAAAAATTTATAATATTCTTATTTTTCGTCTGAAAATTATTGTAAATATCAATTTTGAGTGAATTATCTTCAGTAGTTACTAAAATATCGCAGTTTTCGTATTTCTGGAAATTACCGTTATATGGGAAGTGGGCGTGGTTACTGTCCGATTTCGCCCATTTTCAATACCAACCTGCCTTGGATTAACTTAAAACTACATACCACATTTCGTTGAGATATCTAAATTTTTGCTCGAGTTATCGTGTATTCCTTCGTCCAGGTGGTAAATAAGGTCGCAGAGGATTTTGTAGCGGGAAGGGTTAGGCTCCCAGCAGTGAAGAAGCGAGAAAGCTCGGAGTGCTATCCGTTTACTTTGCAGCACAAGTCTTCAATTCCATTTCCACACGCCATTATCGAACAATCGTCAGCGTAAGAGACAATCGAGCCTTCCTCTGGTGGTTGAGGGAGCTTGGAAATATAATAGTTGAACAGTAATGGGGAAAGAACCTCCTGTTGAATTTTTCTAGGTTTGCTCAATTTGTCTCTAAAGATTACTGACAAGTGTCGACCACTCGGATAATCCGCCGACCACTGTTTTGAGCCTCTGTGGGAGAGAGGAGGCCTCTATGTCTTCGAGCCGCGTGGAGTGGCTGACGGTATCAATCGTCTTTGACAGATCCAACGCTACTAGAATAGTTCCTCGCAGGGGCGGTTGCGATTTAAGTCACGTGTTGAGTTATGACGTTAAGTGCTGTGGCTGTGCTGTGCACTTTACGGAAACTATGCTGATTCTTCGCTGTGGTCGCGGGAGAAGCACGACCTCTAGTGGCTTCGCTATCGGGAAAAGGAGTTCGATGTCTGCTTCGACAAGACGACCACACTGCACGGTGTGGTGATTGATGAACGCTAAGCCACCACCATTAGCTCGCTCGCGATCTCGACGGTGCACATTTATCCGGCGCAATTCAACAATGTTCGCCTCTTGCACCGCAGCTATCAATATTCCATGCCTTCCCATGAAGACGGTTATCTCCTCGATCTTGTTCTGAAGTCCGTTGCAATTGAATGGAAGCAGCTTTGTGTGATTCGGCAGACGTATTGTTATGTGGGAGGTGAGGGATGTGTGTTGCCTTACCGCCATTAGCTGCATGCGATGCAATCCCACGACATACACATTTTTACGGCGCAATTTCTGCAGCATTTCAGAAGATTTTCAGTTGAGTATCAGCAACATTTCCTCAAGAAAGCAACAAGGCTGCATTATTGGCCTGATTATTACATAGCTCGAACACACCCATATCTTACTCTTTACCAAAAATCGTATATGTAGATCAAAGTCAACAAACTTTCGTAAAAAAAGAAAAGGTGAAAAAAAATATCGTGAAAACTCGAAACCCGTTGCCGACCCCTGGTTTCTTCCACATTTTCTCTTCCCTAGTGGGGCACCGAAATTGCGCATACTGTGCATTTAGACATTATTTCGGTTTCAACCGAATTGTTTCGGGTTTTTCATATGCCTTATTTTCAGCCGAAGCTGGATGTATGTATGCATTACTTCGTTTTTCACATATGCATTATTTCGGTTTTCAACACAGAAAGGAGAATTCTACTTAGTAAGGGTTATAATCCCGAAGGCAGAAAAAAGTTCGTTTTCATGTATGCACTCTTTCAGTTTTTGTTATTTCAGTTTTGAGTCCATATGCTTTGGATTTGCTCACACAAGCTCTTGGTTCAATCCGTATCCATTCTTTATAAAAAAGGAAACCATTTTGAAATATGAGTGTTTTACTCTATAGAAAATAATTTATGCAACCTCATATACGCATTTTGCATTATCTTGATACGCGCTTTTGTACTTTAAACGACGATATGTACCTACCCTTGCTGCTGATTGTTTTCACATTTCATTTGCATCTTTCCCAGCACGAAAACATTTGAAAACTTCGCTTCAATTTTGCGTTGCCAACGTGAAAAGTGACAGTTTTCACACGCTGAAATATTGACCACCAAGTCGAAAGCTAAACTGACAATTTAGCGCGATGTCTCGTCGATATCACCAGATTTCAAACATATGTATGTATGTATGTATCAATGTATGTATGCACACTGAGCAATGCGTCTGGTAATTCGTTGAATTTCTCCCTAAATAAAAATTGACGCTCGCGTGCCATTGCAGAAAACTAAATATTTGTTTCTTTGGCAAAGCAGATTCGTCTGTGAGCCAGTTTTTTTTTTGTTTTTTTTTGTTGAGCGTTTCGTCATATCAGCCGCAGTGTGGCGGTGTTGCGAGCGTCACTGAGAAGAGCAGGAGCAGCAACTAAGCATCAAATAATGTTTAAAGCGCCAATGAGAAGATAGCACGCTGCCTGCGACTAATAAGATAAGCTTTTTTGAGTAAATTAAGATTAAATGAAATTTTTCATCGACTGCCTGAGCGTTCTAAAAGCGAGTTTTAAGCTGATGCCAGATAAAACTTTGTAGCTTTGCGTGACATTTATAACTTTGCCAGCAAAGCGCCAGACGCAAAAGGTATGCCACAATGAACGCCAAGAAAGCAATTTTGTACCGCTGTTTTACTCGGTAAAAGTTGCTGTGGATTTTATATATTTTGCTTTAAAATTATCAGCAATGTAATTAAGTTTTATGTTTCTGCATGAAAACCCGAATTTGGACGAAACAAAATATAAATATTAAACCGGCTGATTGTCAAAGCGCGCAAAAAGATGGGAGTTGGCCATCTTTTCGCTTCGCGCTGCAGCTTCAACGATTTATGTGGCATGCTTTGTGCATTTTCATACAATTCATCTTATCTGTCAAAGCGAATCTGTCACGTAAAGCGAAGCAAAAGTTTTATGTGGCATCAGCTTTACTTTTTAAACGTGTACAGCAGCTGGTTAGCGCATTGAAGAGCATAAAAGAGCATGAGCAATGAGGGAGCGGGTAGCAGTGCAGATATGAGACATTACCGCACACTCCACTAAGCCAAAATAGGTAATCGGCGGGCTGGACATTTAACCAACTCGTTTGCAGGCATTTTTTCGTTGCATTTTCTCTGTTTACGTTTTAAAAGTAAACCATCTCACATTTGCTTTCGACTTGCCGACTACGCTTTCTCTAATCACACCCCCTCTCTGGTTTTCTTTCTCGTTGTTGCTCTTTCCTTTATATAGAATACACCATGCAAGCATCCGGTAGTGATGTTGGCCGGCGTCAATGCCAACGACCTGGAAGCGTTGTTGGAGTTTGTTTATCGCGGCGAAGTAAGCGTCGATCACGCACAACTACCGTCGCTATTGCAAGCCGCACAATGTCTGAATATACAGGGATTGGCACCGCAAACTGTCACAAAAGATGACTACACCACGCATTCGATACAACTACAACATATGATACCACAACAACACCATGTAAGTACCATGTAAGCTACAATTTTTCCATTCTTTGTGCTTATAAAATGTTTTCCATTTTTAGGAACAAGACCCATTGATCGCCACAATTGCTACCGCACCACAACAAACCGTACATGCTCACGTTGTCGAGGATATCCATCAAGGTGGTCAGATTTTGCAAACTACTACCCACACCAATGCCGCCGGACAAACACAGACCATTGTGACCGCTGAATCTCCTAAGGATGTTATTCAACAATTCTTGCCTGCACGCAAGCGCAAGCCACGTGTCAAGAAAATGTCGCGTAAGTGTTTTATTTTATTTTTGCAGAAAAAAGTAAAGAATTAGTCTAAGAATTTATTAAAAAATTGTAAGATACTGTATTTGACAATATCGTTACATCGTATCATCTCTCCTAACTACAGCCACTGCACCCAAAATTGCTAAAATTGATGGCGTTGAAACGATTATTGCTACNTAGAATTTAGTAAAAAAATTGTAAGATACTGTCTTTGAAAATATCGTTACATCGTATCATCTCTCCTAACTACAGCTACTGCACCCAAAATTGCTAAAATTGATGGCGTTGAAACGATTATTGCTACACCGACCACTCCCACTAACGTCGTCCAACATCAGACCACACAACAACAGCAACAACAACAACAACAGCAACAACAACAACAACAGCAGCAGCAGCAGCAGCAGCAGCAGCAATTACAGGCACAACAAAGCATTGAAAACGGCAATGAGACGCAGATTATCACCTCGACACCGCACATCAAGAGTGAGGCGAGCAAGGTTGAGACAATTGTGACTATGGATCCGAATATTACACCGATATCGACAGCAAATACCAGCGAAGCAAGCGCCGGCGGCACAACACCAGCAAGCAGCACGAAGACAGTCAAACGCACCAAGAGTGGTAAGTAGAGTGATTGTTACTTTTTTTTTAAATTTAAATATTATTGTTACTAAATCACTTATTTATTTTCATTCCAGAATCTCGTTCACGCTCACAATCGGAACAACCGGCTACTTGTCCCATTTGCTACGCAGTCATCAGACAGTCACGTAACTTGCGACGTCACTTGGAACTAAGGCATTTCGCTAAACCTGGCGTAAAGAAGGAGAAGAAAAGTAAGTCTGGTGGTAATGATATGGAAGTTTTAGACATAACGGCAGAGGAGGGCACTGTCATAGCGGCAAACGTAAGTGACATAGCGGCGACGACAAGCGGAAGCTTCCACACAGTTGCTGGTAATGCCACCACCGCATCAAATGCAACGAGCACACCCATCATCGTTACGCATGCCAATACTACAGGCGTTGGTCCGACCGTCACGCATATGGCTACGCTAAAGCAGGAGCCATCGAATGCGGGTAGTGGTCCGAATATACAAAATGTTATACATTTTGTCAGCGAAGAATTGTTGGGGTCATAAAAATGCATACAATTTGATAAATATTATTATAGAGATTCATATAAATATAGGCATTAAGACGTTTAAGTGATTAAAAATAATTGACGTTAGAGACCTTCAGGTTCTGTAAAGAAGTAGTTTTTGATAATTAAGCATTCCCCTTGCTTTTCATTAAGCTAACAAACGCATACTTTCTTGTACAAATGTATACTGAAAACACACATAAAAAAATGATTGCACACAAATGTACAGACAAACAGCCATAGTACATTGCAACAATAGCATGTACACGGCGATTTCGAATAGTTAAACGTTAAAGACGCAGTATGATTAAGTTTAGATGCTTTAGATGACAACTTGCTCAAATATTTACTTTAATTTGCAGAAAATAGTCTACGATCATCTGCAGTATTTTCTAACAAAAAACAAAAAATAGCAATAAAAAGTTCAATCTAACGCTCTGTTTCCTTAACAAATTTGTATAAACACAAATTAAAATTTATTTAAAACAATAATATATTATTTACTGCTCGTTTTTTATACATACATACATACATACATATGTAAGGATTTGCTTTATAGTTTTTTATTATGAAAGTTGAAAGGCGATTTTTTCCAAAATATACTATGGATATGATGAATAAAGTGGAATTGATTGATAAAAAACCGAAATAACACGCCTATTTTTAATTTTTAAACTTTATTTAATTCTGTAGTTAGATTTTTTCAGTTAAACCCTCCGTTGCTCTCGAGGAAATGTGCGTTTTGGACTTTTTATTGTTAACACAGAGAAAATACTTGTATTTGTTATTGTAAAGCTCGCGTTTTTATGACTCAAAATGATCCTTTAAACCTTGAAAAGCAATCTGTTCATCAGGAGCTTATGGTTTTACTAAAACCAAGAAATACACGGGCAGTGTAGGTGTCGAAATTGGCTTCCAATATTTGTTAAGGGCCAGCATAAAACATTTTGGCTGTAAGTGAAGCCAATGCAGGCCGGATGATATCAGATTTAATAGCCATTAACTCTGTTTGTTTATGTGCGAGTTTATGCTAGTTGGTAACAGTTGTTACAAGTTATCATCTTTTGACAGGAATTGAGAGAGCGAAAATGACAGTTATATAAAAGTCGTTAGGATAAATTTTTACTCGTAACCGCTTTACACAATTGAACGATTTCATTAAAAAATGTTTTAAGGTAATCGTTACCGTACATGTTTTTTTGCATATTCCTATCACTGAGAGCTTAACTATTCAGAAATTGGGTTACAGGATATTATTTACTGGAGGAGTACACATACACAGCTATTGTATACATAAAATATGTAACAAAAATGATGGAAAGTTTTCCTAAAGGTAGAGTTGGCCAACGCCAAAACTCGTTCTGCTGTTTAAAGGCGGTGTAAGTCTGTGAGGTTTCCTAATTTACACTTATGAAGACTTATTCAATAAATTATAAGCGTAGCTTGAAACAGCTCGTGTCCTCTGCCGTCGACTCGAATGCCCGCTCCTTTTGCATACACATTTTCTTCTTTCATTCCTTGAGAGCAATATTTCTTACATTTAATTTCTTCTACCAATATAGTGCCCGCAGGCAAAAAGATAGTAACCACCACATCCACTGGCGCTGGAACTAGCAATGCTGCAGGCACATCAACGATCACCACAACTGTAAGCGCCGTAGCCACAGGTGCAATCGGTGCAATCGCTACACACTTTACATACGGTACAAGTGAAAAAGGATCCGGATGCACAGAATCAAGGCCAACAAACGATGACTGTCACAACTACGTCAGGTGCTGGTGGTGCTCAACAACAACAACAACAGGTGCAACAGCAACAACAGCAACAGCAACAGCAAGTTCAACAGGTACAGGTGCAACAGGCACCACAACAGCAGCAACAGCAACAACAAATACAACATCATCAAATAATTGATCAATCGGGTAATATAACAACAGCCACCACAACAGCGGGCGGCCAACAGCAACAACAACAACAAACTGGTGGACAAATTGTTACGCAGACGGAGAATACAGATGGTACAACATCGTTGTCGATTGCGCAGGTGCAAACGTTGCAGGGTCATCAAATACTGGGCAATATAAATCAGGTGAATATGAATGAATTTCAAACGCATTCACAATTGTAAAATGGATGATGGAAGAGGAGGAAGATGAAGTAAAATGAGCAACTTTAAATAAGAAGTTTAGCGAGAAGATATCAGAAATTAAAAAAAATCCTACGCAAACTCCGCCACCCACCCACAGACACACACACACAAACAAAGGCACTAACCAAAAACGGTGTTGAGGCACTAAAAAAATATGATATAAATTAGACAACAGTGAAACATGTAGAAACAGTAAATTAGACTATTTTTTGCTGCGGCAGGCAAAAACAGCAGAAAAAACTTGTAAAAAAGATATTTTTTTTTATAAAAATGTTTGAGAAGTCTTTAAAATTAGGTAATAAAATACCTCTAATTTTTCAATTTCTGCAACTATAATTCTTATATTAGTGTGCACTACCCCACGCACTTGCAACTTCTGCATATTTTGTAAAAAAAATACCAAATCAAATGTTTGCTTTAAAAGTGCTCCAGGAAGAGAATAAGAGACAAAGAAGGAGAAAAAATCACTTAAAGTTTTACACCTTTTTGCACTTCACCAAATTTTGCTGCCTTATTATCCTGTGCTATTATATACACTATTTCCGTGCATTGCATAACTTTAATGTTAATTTATGCTACGTACATACTATGTATTATTGAACAAAGTTATTTTATTTTTACTTCTTAGTTTTGACCAAATTTGTTTGCCTTAACCTATAAATTTAATCTTATAAAATTTTTAGTTGCGATTTGTAAAATAGAAAAAAAAAATTAAATGGTTGTAAGTAGTATTAAGTTGGTACTAGGTACTACAAAACCCCTATACTTTAAAAACTATTACTATAAACGACTTTATTTTTAAATTTCCATGATAGCGAAAATAATGTATCAGAAGTGATATATTATTCGTTATCTACCATTTTCATGCTTATCAACCGCATATTAAAATTTAAAAGTAAATTTAGTTCATATTTATTGCAACACTGCAACACTGCAACAGTTGCTAACTTAAAGTTTACTTATTATTCTTATTTTTCTTAGCTAAGAAATGGTTTAGTACACATAACACTGTTAGATATTTAGAAAAAAAATATATTAAAAAGTACATATGTATGTATATATTTTTTGTTAAAATTAAAGTACTTTTACGTATACAAGAAAAGCGGAAATATCCCAATATAACAGCGGCCGCAAGTTTACGTAAATAGTTGTGCGAAATTTGTGCTTTTAGAGAAAGAGTTTAACGCGTTTTGAAAATGGTTTCTACTAGAAAGTTGAAAAAATTTGAGTTATGTTTAAAACTTATAAAGTGTAAGGCAAATAATAAAAAAAAAATACTTATAACCTCGAAACAATTTTTTTTTTAATTTTAATCTAAAAAAAGTGGTTGCTTTAAAATATACATTTTTGGTACTTACAAGTAGATACATATATATATATTTAGCAAAAATAATAAAACTTGGCTTCCTTGCCACACATTTTGCACAACGGTTTCAAAAAAAAGGAATAAAAGAAATTAGAATAAACATTTTTTAACGTATGATTTTCTTTAGAAATTCGCTTGTAATTCCTAATTTGACCTTTTTGTTTGTTTGGTTAACAAATTTTGAATTATAAATAGTAATAATAATAAAAAGAACCAATTTTGAAAATCCAACGAAAAATACATAAATTTTGGTTTAATTTATTTTTATATTTGAACACTCCAGCAAATCCCCAAACCTTTTAAACCTCTGCTATTTTCCTTTGTGAACTCTTCATCGCTTTGTTTTTTTTTTGTACTTTTGTACTTTTGTTTCCTTTTCATGGTATTGGTTTTTCTTGGGTTTTAGTATGTAGTCTGTATGTATGTTTATTTGTAGTAAAAGTAGTAGTGCTAACTTGGTTTACTTGCTTAATTAAATTTGCATGTTGTACATAGTTTACATGTATGTTTGTATGTAACATTGCTTTTATGTCTATGTATGTCCAGTCTCAATACGCTTCTCACTGTTTGTGCTATGTCTTTACGTGTATGAGGTTGTACAGTATGCGGGGGTCGCACTTAGTAATCACTATTATCAAGTTATCAGGATAAATATGCCTCGAAAGGGAAAGTCTCATTTTGTCTCATTTTGTCATCAGGGAGAATATCAAATCCTCAAAGTTGAGAATAACTGTTGGATGATATAAATAATTGGCCATGGCCAGAGTACGAAAATAAACTGTACAAAACAATTCCCATTTGCTCATCGATCATCATATAATTTGTGGTTTTGTACAGTTTTGTACATAGTCAGAAACAAATTGTAAGATTCACTGTCATTTTCCCCAACGAGAAACGTTTGCTTTTCGTTTGTGACAATTGTACCATAGGGTACCTTTTATACATACATATGTATGCAAACGTTTCAGTTACGTGAAAAATATTTTTTTCTTTAAATTTTCATATCCGATTAAATTAAAAAACATTTTTATTTTTTTTCTATTCATTGCAGCCATTCGTTTTGTGTTTAGTTATTGCATCTGTGTACATACATACATATATTTTTCTCTGCACGATTCATTTCCTTTGTTGTTTCGTCTCTGTAACTACTAAACTACTGTAGTGTACTATCGCCAAAGTGAACTCAGCCGTTTTGTTTTCGTATTGTACCGAACTGTTGAAGCAATAAACGAAACGAAATAGTAACGTACAATATAGTTTATTTTCGTACCCTGGCCATGGCCATGCCTATCAGCTCTAAAAAGTTGATAACCATTTACATGTAGGATATTATTGTTGTGGTGCGAGGAAAACCACGTTTCGGATTTGCACACAACATGAATACCCGAATTTTCGAAGAGATATCTAACACCCTCATTGCGAGAGTGGTGTCGTATGCAAGTCGTTTTTCGA